ATACACGTTGAAGACGACATTTTACAGAGGTCTTAAATTAATGGTTAACAGCCATATAATGTTTATTAATATTCTTTTTGGTATCAAACAACTTAACAAATTATGGAAGAAGACATTTTAAATATTCACCATCATGTACGTTCACCATATATTTCCGAGGAGGTTTGGTTTTGGCTGGTGGAAATAAACTGTAAGTTGAAGAAAGAGTTTATTGTTAATGTGTTTAAGATTTTTTGTGCAGTCATCGTCGTTTATATTAGTATAAAGAAGACGACGTTAAATTTTTTTTCTTTTTTTTTATCAAGCTTTCACTTTCACACAGGTACACATAAACATGGAAACAAAAAGAAGTTGTCAATCTTATATTACTTCTAAGCTTGTAATTTGAAAAGGCTTGTTAGAAATCCAAACCGAAATAGAAAAGTAGTCTTCATTGTAGTGATATGAACGCCTACCATTTACATTTACTTTTCGTAAGTTATGCTAAATGAACTGATCAAGAGAGGCCTCATAAAAGATCGGAAGCTATTTAACTCATTTTAGAACCTTGATTACGTAATATTCAGGCATTTATAAACACTCTGAAGTAGTGTAAGGGGGGTGGTTCTCTCTCACTTTTCTATAGTGAGTGATGTGCTTACAGTTTTCTTTTTACTCTAAATTTTCTTTCAGGGTCAAAATTTGGCAATATCTGAGAGTAGAAAATGTTTTCTTAATTTCTTTAAGTTTGCCAAATTCAGACTCTGGCAGAGGATATATGCAACAACAAAAAAACTACTCAAAAACGATCCAAAAACGATGTAAAAACGATGTAAAAGCAATCCAAAAAGATGTAAAAATGATCGTTGTAACGATTTTTTCCAATTTTTTTTAACCCCTGGTGGGTTTACACTACCTCCCCTGGTGGGTTTACACTACCTGTGTTTAGGTGGGCGGATGAAAGCTGTAGTGATGTTAGATATGTACTTAAAACTGATGATGATGCTTTTGTCGATACTTTTCATCTGAAGAGGTAATATAGTGATAACCAGAAAACAATGGAATAGAAAGACGACATAATAGAAGTTCTTAAGCGTTTTGATGTTGTTACAAAGCAAATATCTTTACTAGAGTAACTTAGAAAAGCACTATTTAAGTGAAATGAGTCTATTTACACTGTAAAATTGCTATGCATTGAACTAGTTTAAGTCCTAACTTGAGTTTAAAAGTCGTCTTCCTATTTCAGAGTTTTCTGGTTATCACTGTATAAAACTTTGATTGCTGGGATACATATAGAGATTAAAAAATAATTTAGAAGAAAAATATATTTTCAATGATGCTTTTCTGTAAATTGTAAATCTTATTTTGTTGATACTTTTCATTCAAAAAAGGTAATATAAAACTTTAATTGTTGGGATACATAAAGAGATGCAATTTTAACTTGATTCCTCAAAAAAAATTTGTTTCAAATTTTTTAGGTTTCTATCAAAAGTTAACTTCAAGAGTTCTCTTTATTTCCTCTGCTATGTTATGGAGAACATAGTTAGAAAACAAGATGAAGGAAACAAATGGTTCATCACCCAACAAGAATATTCAGGTATTGAAATTAGACATCAAAATTACTGTAATTTCTAGTGACCCGGCACCCTTGAAACCTTTATCTAATCAATATTATGGAAGAAAATTCGTTTTCCTAGATTAAAAATTTTTCCTGCACTGGAAATGCGTAAATTAATTTTGTATAGAAAGTAAAATAGAAAAGTTTAAACATGTATATCTAATTCATACTTGTTCAGACAAAGCTTTTTAAGGTTGTGAAACGGACATTTTCATCTTTACATAGAGGGCAAGGATTATGAAATAGAAGGGAGATAAAACTGACGCGGCCCGCCCTACCATATGATTATTTCAGTCTTTGCGGACGATACTTCATTTGATTAAGAAATATTTATCTGATGAATTACCGTGTATACAATAACCTATTCTGAATATTTCTTATACAAATGAAGTATCCGTCTGCAAAGCATGTATATCTTCCTTCTATTTCATACTCCTTGATGGAGGGTCACTTGAAGACACACTTACCGTCCCTTTAAGGGTGTTACAGAAATCATGCCAAATATCTGTTTCTTTTGTCCATTATGAGTGAAAATATTCGTTGATCTTTTCAAAATTTGATTTAAACTTTAGTCCAAATATGATTATGTGCATAGTAGGGGTGAAACATTTTCTGAAATTATTTAACGAAAAAAAATTGTATTCCTCTTTGACTGGAATATTAAAGCATGTTTACAAAATGCATTTTTCACAAAAATAAAAAATGGCTGTCTCAATTTGGGCGTAATTGGAATCGGGTTGAATATCCGAATTTAAATCAATTTAAAGAATTGAAAAATATTGAAAATTGGCCGAGTTTGAGTTAGGCAAAAAAACAAACATTTTTATTACTTCATGAAATTTATTAAGAAAAAAACTTTGTCCATAGTACATTTTCGATATTTTTCAACTGTGTAAATTGATTAAAACTCATATATTTAAAAGTCTCTATTAAATATAATCTTAGAAGTCACGCACCTCTGCCCCTTTAGTAAAAGTAAATTCAACCTATGTGAAGCGTAAAGTCTGACCGCGTCAACCTTGTTGCACCGGCTAGACCTGTCCATACGGCTAGGTACAGTACAAACTGGGACCGGAAAGGTTGACCCGGCTCGGAAATTCAAATGTACTACGGCTGCTCGTGAAGTAATAATAACTGATTCAATTTTTAAAAAAACGTGCTGCGGCAAATTTATTCAAGAGATAAATCTGAATTTAATAGTAGTCTCATTCTTTAGGGTTACCCTGTTTGTACAAAACAATTAATAAAAAGGAAACATCTGTATCCCTTCTTTAATTAAATACAAAGTATAAATAATAAATACATCTTTGTATACAGGGTAACCCATAAAGGATGAGACTCTAAAGACGACCTAAAACCTTTAAAATATGAAAATCCCAAGGCTTAAATATATATATCTTCTGTCTTCAATATAGCTGTTTAATGGCTTAGTAAAGGAGTGGTATCCGAACAATTGTCTATGAAGTCTCATCCTTTGTGTGTAGTCTTGTATATTTTCCTTGTCTGCTGTTTTGTTTAAAATATGAAAATCCCAAGGCTTAAATATATATATCTTCAATATAGCCGTTTAATGGCTTAGTAAAGGAGTAGTATCCGAACAAATGTCTCTGAAGTCTCATCCTTTGTGTGTAGTCTTGTATATTTTCCTTGTCTGCTGTTTTGTTTGGATCTAAAAAAACGTGACAAAGCCTGAACCGATCAGGCGCGAAGGAACTGTGTTTTTCATAACAAACTTCAAATTTTCTAAACCATATATCTTTGCAACCTAGTGTAGTAAACTACCTTTGATATTTAACACTATTTGATCGAATACAATTAAAAGTTTGAAATATCAAAGTGATGAAAATATATTTCAAAGTGTTGCTGTTTAAAGGGACTGTAAGCTATTTGATTTGGAAAATTTCTTTATGTTTTCTTGCAGTAGAAATGCGCAAGTAACTTTTGCTGTAAACCCAAAATTGAAAATAAAATAAAACTAAAAATAGATTCTAATTTATACTTGATCAGACAAAGCTTTTAAGTGCACTTTTGTGAATCGGGCATTGCTGTCTGTGCGTTGGAGTGTCGCTTTAAATTACGCTAACAATTAATACAAACATGTTTAGAGATGCTAATACTGGTTCACTCAGCTGGAGGAAATAGGGCTCTAAGGGATAGTTTAAGATCTTCTTGGGCCAAACAATCCCATAATACGAGGTATTATGAAACCATAATTTGGTTTTCTTTTAACAATAATTTTAGATTTTCTATAAAATGATATTCCAGGGCCCAACAGGTTATATAGCATAAATATGTTAAGTACACCTGCAGTATGGAAACAGTACAACACAATGGTCGTTTTACACTTTTTTCTAGTAAATTCCTTTCTATATATTCAATTCTCTATGGATATATGCTATACACCATCGTAATTCCTCTAATTAAATAATTTCTTTAGAGACTTAGTAAACATTGATTATTCTCCTGTATGTATAATGTGTAATTATAAGATATGCGTTCTACAGTAATTTGCAGTACACTGACGACCGGAGATATATGTATAGCGTTTAGTAGACAGTGAATATATATATAATATATAATATATATATATATATATATAAGAAGACGAGTTACAAACATCCACATTACATATACAGTTCATAACAAGTAAACAATGGAATAGGAAGACGACATCATAACAATTAGTGTATTTTATGTTGTTACAAAGCAAATAGTTTTACTAAAACACTAATATAGTGAAATGGGTCTCTGTTATGCACTACACAATTCACATATTTGTTTTGTCTCATGATAATTTGACTTTTTAAAGTTATAATTTGATTCTAAGGGTCGTCTTCTTGTTTCAGAGTTTTCTGGTTACCATTGTATTTAGAAAAAATTAAATTAAATTCCCAATTTAACAAGCAATCTAAAATTGGACGTGGACATCAAAAGGAGACTTTTTCATTTTTGTTTGATACTTTTTACCCATANTGATTTTAATGCCCGCGTGTAAATCAATATTGCTTACAGTCCCTGTAAAGCTGGCAGATTTCGGAGAAAAAAAATCCCGCAATAGAGAATTTCTCAATAACCAAGTGAATTTAAAGAACAGTTAACTTTAGATTATCAATTAAGTTCAAATATTGCAAGTCTAGAGTTACAAAAGTTAGTCAAAAAGTACAGTCAAGTGACAATTTAAATTTACATGCCTCTTTTCATAGCTGTCTATAGATCTATGTGAACTTAATTCCTATGTTGTTATGGGACACTGTACAATATTTCATTCCAATAGAAAAATAATACTAAACCATGAAATTACATAGATTTTTAACATTCTTGTGATATTTCTGACTTTTGGAAATGTTTTCCTAAATTTCAAAATATTGTGTCAAAAAGTTTTTTTTTTTTTGTTAAATTTTAAAAATGCATGAGAAAAAAACATTCAATCCGCATACTTTTTTTTGATTTTGTTTTCTATTTAACAACGAGAACATGCTCAAAGATAAAGCCACGATGAAGAAGTAAAATAGAAGATGGGCGCAAAGCGCCCTAAAAGCCTAATATTAATACAATTTAATACAAAACTACATATATAGGGAGACTTTGAGGACACTTACAGAAACTTGACGATAAAACATCTTCTGGGATTCAGGTAAAACATGTTGAAAAATATCTTTTTACTGTATTTCCACCGGCCAATACCAAACTTCCTAGAGCAAATGTTCCCGACCTAAATAGGTTAACCTCCTTGTGTGATAATTTATTTATTTATAATTTATTTAGTTCAGCATATGTTGTACTGTATGATAAACTATATGAGGTACGGTGGTTAAAATTCTTATTTAAGTAAGGATAATTTCCGTTCTGGTATATACTGGGTATCTCACGAAACATGACAGTTGATGAATAGTTTAGAATGTCGTCTTCCAAATATTGGTTAAGATTTACAGACATTTTGCAGTTTAGTTCGGTAGAAAAATCTTTTACTCTAATATATCTTAATCTATGATCGATTTTACTGTAATAAAACTGCCATATCATGTTTATTAATATTCTCCTTGGTATCAAACAACTCTTAACAAATTATGGGAGAAGACATTTTAAAATATTCACGAACTGTTTTGTTAGACACCCTGTACTTTCACGATATATTTCCGAGGAAGTTTGGTTTTGGTTGGTGGAAATAAACTGTAAGTTGAAGAAAAAGAGTTTATTGTTAATGCGTGCAACATTTTAGACAGTCATCGTCGTTTATATTAATACAATATTTATATTAGTATATATATTAGTTTATATTAGTATAATGAAGACGACGTTAATTTTTTTCTTTTTCTATTAAGCTTTCACACAGCCATGGGTACACATAAACATGGAAACAAAGAGAAGTTGTCAATCTTAGATTACTTCTAAGCTTGTAATTTGAAAAAGCTTGTTAGAAATAAAAAAGTCGTCATCATTGTAGTGATATAAACGCCGATCATTTACATTTACATTTTGTAAGATATGCTGAATGAACCGATCGAGAGAGGCCTCATAAAAGATCCATCTGAAACTATTTAACTCGTTTTAGAACCTTGATTACATAATATTCAGGCATTTATAAACACTCTGAAGTGGTGTAAGGGGGATGGTTGTCACTCACTTTTCTATTGTGAGTGATGTGCTTTCAGTTTTTATTTATAGTCTAAATTTTCGTTCAGGGTCAAAATTTGGCATAATCTAATCTAATCTAATCTAATGGTAGGAAATGTTTTCGTAATTTCTTTCTGGCAGAGGATATATGCAACAACAAAAAAACTACTCAAAAAAGATCAAAAACGATGTAAAACGATGTAAAAACGATCGTTGTAACGATTTTCCCCCCCCAATTTTTTTACAACCTCTGGTGGGTTTACACTACCTGTGTTAAGGTGGACGGATGAAAGCTGTAGTGATGTTAGATATGTACTTAAAACTGATGATGATGCTTTTGTCGATTTTCTGATAATGGAATGTTGCAGATATTTAGTTTTTTAATTAAATGATTATTTGGAACTCTTTAAAACTGTTCCCGCATATTCATGGCTATTTATTAATTTTGGCAAATACTGAAATTTACGTAATATAGTATAAACTTCATTGAAAAATTGTCAAGACGACATTTGATAAATTCTTCTGATGTATTCGTTATTAAGGGTTTCACTGTATTAAAAAAAGCTTATGAGAATAATATTTGTTTCAAAATTCCTCAAAAAAAAACGTTACAATTTTTTAGGTTTCTATCAAAAGTTGACTTCAAGAATTCTCTTTATTTCCTCTGTTATGTTATGGAGAACATAGTTAGAAAACAAGATGAAGGAAACAAATGGTTCATCACCCAACAGGAATATTCAGGTATTGAAATTAGACATTAAAATGACTGTAATTTCAAGTGACCCGGCACCCTTGAAACCTTTTCTTTACATGGAGGCCGGGCAAGGATTATGAAATAGAAGGGAGATAAAACTGACGCGGCCCGCCCTACCATATGATTATTCAGTCTTTGCAGACGATACTTCATTTGAATAGGAAATATTTATCTACAATAACCTATTCTAAATATTTCTTATACAAATTGAGTACCCGTCTGCAAAGCATGTATAATCATATGGTAGGGCCGGCCGCGTCAGTTGTATCTTCATTCTATTTCATACACCTTGATGGAGGGTCACTTGAAAACACACTTACCGTCCCTGTAAGGATGTCTCAGAAATCATGCCAAATATCTGTTTCTTTTGTCCATTATGAGTGAGAATATTCGTTGATCTTTTCAAAATTTGATTTAAACTTTAGTCCAAATACGATAATTTGCATAGTAGGGGTGAGACATTTTCTGAAATTTAACAGAAAAAAATTGTATTTCACTTTGACTGGAATATTAAAGTATGTTTACAAAATGCATTTTTCACAAAAATAAAAAATGGCTGTCTCAATTTGGGTGTAATTGAAATCGGGTTGAATCTCCGAATTTTAATCAATTTAAAGAATTGAAAAATATTAAAAATTGGCCTAGTTTGAGTTAGGCAAAAAAACAAACATTTTTATTACTTCATGAAATTTATTAAGAAACAAACTTTTGACCATAATACATTTCAATATTTTTCAACTCTGTAAATTGATTAAAACTCCGATACTCAAGCCAGTTCTATGAATACCTATTTCAACGTGCCTTTTAAACAAAAATGCATTTTATAAGCATACCATAGAAATCCATGTGGATTTTTTGCTTAACATATTTTAAAGGAAACTTTTTTTATAACGTCAAACTCATTTATACAAATACATCGGAAGAATATTTAAAATGTCGTCTTTATCACTTTTCACTAGGTTATGCTGCTAAGAGCTATATGATATATGTAACGCCCAACTATACCTATTGTATGTAAATTGTAAACTTTCTCAGGTTTTTGTAGAGCATAACATTTGATGCACATCTGCTAGACTGTATTGCTTATTGCTTATGTTGATATTGGGGTGGTTACTAAAATGTAAACATGTTTATTGTCGTCTTCTTATTCCAACTTTATTCTGGGAATCACTGTTTACTAAAATTGACTTTTGAATTGGTTAATTGCTAAATGAGGTTGAATTTATGTACAGTGGTTAACATTTATATAATTACAGTGTCGGCTACTCAAATAGTGAAGTAATACAATTTCAGTAGTTGATAATTCATTTGTATAATACACGGAATATACTGTATTGAAATATTTGTAGTTAACACAATTTCCGGAAACGACTTTGTCTTGATATTTATGCTGACCACGGTATTAGAAAAATTATGATAAAAGACAATTTGCCAGGGGTATATAATATATATTTTAATAAAAAAATTATTTTTAAAGATT